GGTAGGTTGAGGTCAGCTGCTGCGGGTGGCCCAGCCCCGCAAGTGCCCAGAACGGGCGTCAGGGAGAGTGGCTGGGCAGACAGGCAGGCAGGGCTGGGGGCCACAGAGAGAAAGGGGGAGAGCTTGGGCAGGCCCTGCTGCAGGGAGGGGGCGGGAGCTCTGGAGGCTGTAGGGGTGGTACTCTTGGTCCCCAAAAGGGCAGGAGTGAGGGGTGGGGCCTGCAGAGAGCAGGGTGTCTTGTCCTTGGCTGAAGTCCCAATCTCTTGCCAGGAGCCAGAAGTGCTGGGATTGGCCACCACGGGGGCCTGGGGACCAGAGTGCACTGCGGGGCCTGGGGCTGGTGGGCCAGGGGAGGCCGCTGGCAGAGGGGGCCGGAGGGTCACAGGTGTGACCAGCAGCTGGGCTGGGAGAGCCGTGGGAGGAAGGGCAGCCCTCCTGGCACGGGCCTCCCGAAGCCGTTTCTCCCGAAGCAGCTCCGACACAGTCTTGGGTTTGGGCCGGGGGCCGCTGGGAGCCGGTGGGGGCAGCCGAGAAGGGGTGGGCTCAGCCTGGCAGGACCCCAGGCCTCCACTCCCTTTGTGCGTGACGTTCTTCACAGCTTCTTGAGACAGTGTCTTTGGGAAGCAGCAGCCTGCGGGAGGACCGCTACCACTCAGGGAGCTGCGGCACCTGGCCCCCCTGCAGCAAGAGGGCCATGCACACACACGGCGTCCCAGAGTCCCTGACCAAGAGGGGTTCCGGCTGCACATTCCAAGACCTCTCTACATGGCAGCCCAAACGCCGACGCTCTGCCACAGACAGGGCAGGAGAGGCTCTGGGAGCTGCCATTCAAGCCCAGACCAGCCCCTAAACGCAACAGCTCAGTGCCTGGGCTGCCAGGCAACCCAGCATGAGAAAGCCTCAGCTGCAGGGACCCGGCCCTTGTCCCATTCTGCTAGCATGGGTGGCCAAGGGTCCCAGTGGCAGGTTGGCTGTGGGCAGTCTCAGGCCTGGGTCTGTGCTGGGAGGCTTGGCCAGCAGGTGGGGCGGTGGCAGGAGCCCCATGCTCGCCCACCAGGCTCTCTCCCCGCGGCCTGCTCGGGTAGGTCCGCACACCCAGGGGCCAGGGTCACAGCTCATCAGCGCAGAGGCCTCCCGCCACAACCAGGAGGCACAGAGGCAGTACCTGGGGTGCTCTGGGCACGCGAGGGCACCTGGAGAGGAAAGGAGAGGAGTCGGACCAAGGGACAGGCCCCCCACACCCCGATGTTCTTTACCACGCTATGCAACGGAATGAGGCCCCATGCGCTCGGTGGCCTCCCGTGCCTCTGGAGGCAACCCAGGAGATGGGACTGGCCGGCACAGGCCGGCCTCACTCCACTGCCCACAGGCAGCCCCTTGGGGTTGGGGCAGTAGGGTCTGTTGGCCTCAGACTGGCAATAGGACCCTGTGGCTCACCGTTCCCGCCAGTGTGCCCCCACGGAGATGGGCAGGAGCCCAGAGCCCAGCGGGCAGTGGCCCCCAACTCAGACTGGGCAGAGTCCCGGCTTAACTGACCGCATGGCCCCGGGGGCTCGAGGCTCCCACCCACGGAAATGCACACGCTTCCCTGGAGGGGCGTGGTGCAGTGGGTGGGGCAACAGCAGCTGGGAGAGGGAGCCCACCCACGGTTCCTGGCTGGGCATGTGCTACCCCACGCTCACCCCAGCTTCTCACAGGGCGCCAAGCACTGATACCTGCAGAAGACGTGGCGGG